GAGGGCTTGGGGGCCGCGGGTGTGCTCCCCGGGTCCCTGAGGTCGTCCTTGTAGTACTCAGCCTGGCGGTGCTCCCAGACTCGCAGGCTCCCGTCCCACTGCAGGAAGAAGGGGTGGGGGGGAATTAGAGCACCCCCTGCTGGACCCAGCTGGAGAATGCCTCCCCCCTCTTCAGCATTGCTGGGCCATAGATATGCGCCCCACCCCTCCTCCCCCTGCTGGATCCTGGCCCACTCACCGAGCTGCTCACAATCTTCTCCTCATAGGGGTGCCAGCTGACGTCCCGCACGCAGGCCTTGTGATTGGTCAGCTTCTTGATGATGCGCCCTGTCAGGAGGCTGTACACTGGGGGGGCATGCATTGGAATAAATGATTACTTTCCCTCCCATTAGCTGTGCAGAATGGTATTTCCCAACCCCCCCCCCCCAACAGTGGTATGTGCCACTCCCTCCCTGTTACCCCAAGCCCTCAATTGGAATGAAACTTCCTACTGGAACTTCCCCCCCCCCTCGCACTGGGAGCACAGGAACAGTTCCAGTCTGGGCCTGGCCCAATGGGAAGGGCCATCCTGCCCACTGCACCCCACCTCTGGACCCAGTGGTAGTCCAAAGCACTAGGACACAATTGGGTTTGGACACAATGGTACAGCCCAACCCTGCCCCATAGTCCTGCCCTTGCATCCTGAAGCCCCTCCCCTTTTACACTGGCAGCTGGGGAAAAAGCAAGGGCTCTGCCCTTACCTCATCATCAGGCAGGCACTGGCCCAGTCTACTTCATGGCCCCCTGGCCCCCAATTCCACCCCGATTTGGCCACGCCTCTGTCCCCCCCACTGCCCCACCCATTTCTAGTTCTGCCCACATCCCAGGGTAGCCCCACCCCCAAGCAACTCACCCACCACCTTGCCCGTGGAGCAGCCGCTGTAGCTGTATATTGGCTGCCGGTGCTGTAGGGTGGGGAGAAGCGGCAGCGAATCAGGGTGTGCAGCACCCCGTGGCCCCTGTAGGTCATCAGGGAGCTGTCGCCCGGAAGCTTCCCCTTGCGCCAAGCTGCCGGAGACCAGCTGCATTAGAGCCTGCCCTGCAGAGGTAGGACTTCCTACCTGGGGAGGCAGGACTTCCCACTTTGACCCTCTTGGCAGGAGGCGGGACTTTCTGATTTGCCCACGGAACCTCCTCTTACGCTGCATCCTTCCTGCCCCCTTCTCCACCCTACCTGCACTCCACTTCCTGTCTCTACCACCCAACATCCACCTCCTGGACACACTACTTCCTGTCCCGACTAATCCCGCAGCGACCTCTCTTCCTGTTTTTTGCCACACCCCCACCTGGTTTTCCATCTTGTCCTCCCCAGCCATTCCACATCCTATTCTCCAACCCAGGCTAACTGTCCTCCAACAAGTAGGCTCGTCTTCCACTTCCTGTCCCCCTGCTCCTGACCTCTTTTGGGCACCTGCTGCCACCGGTAGTCCCAGTTCTGCTGGGTGACGGCTTGGCGGGATGCCTCCATGGCCTCACGCCCCGAGAACCTCCGGATGTCCCACAGCTTGATGGTCTGGTCTTTGGAGTTGGAGATCAGGTACCGGGCATCCCCCTAGGCAAAGGAGATCACGCTGGTCCTGTACCACCCCCCGCTTCTCCCATTTTTATCTAGCACCCCGCCGCCCCCGCAGGGCTCACCTTGCTGTCGATGAAGGTGATGCCATCCTGGTGCCCAGCCAACATGCCCACAGGCTTAGGGTCGTCCTCTCGCATAGTGCGCCGATCCCACACTTTACAGATGGCATCGTCACCCCCCGAAAAGAGGATGTGGGAGCTGGCGTCGGCAAAGGCCACGGCATTCACATCATCCTCATGTGACTCGATCTGGGGGGAAGTGGGGGCATTGTGGGTATTCTCCCAGAATCCTCTCTGCTCTCACCTGAAGGCACCCATTTCCCAGAATGCCAAGAGGTCAAAGGCAATTTACCTCCTAGAATCCTCTCTACTTGAGCCTGAGAGCATCTCTTGTACCTACTGTGCCAAAGGAGGAGGCACATCACCCACCCCAAATCCTCCCCACTCTTGTCCTAGGGCTTGGTACTCCAAGTGACATCCCTAAATTCTCTGTCCTCGCCTACTAAATTTGGCATCATGGGTATCCCCTTCCTAGAGCCCTCTGTGTTCCAGCTGGAAGGCACCCACTGCCACTACCTGCTGGGCACTGTGGGTAACCCACCTCTCCCAGAATCCTCTCTGCCCTTGCCACCACCTGGGCTATATACCTTGAGGGTCCGCCTGTTCTGCTCACGGTCGAAGACGTACACACAGCCATCATTGGCTCTGGAGAGGAAGATGGACTTGTCAGGAAGGGGGCTGGAGATATTTGGCCGGAGCTATCCCAGAATCCTCTCTGCTCTCAGCAGAGATGCATCTAGGTTTCCATGACGTTGTGGGTGAGAACCAGACGTGGCGTAGGCCATGAAATCCCCACATTCCCTGTTTCTGCTCACTTTGTGGTTGCAAGAACCAGACAGCACTGCCTTGTGTGGGCTACACTATGTCAGAATCCTCTCTGCTCTCAGCCATGTTGCCTCAAGAGGACCATGGCACATGGCATTGTAGGTAAGAACCAAGTGGCACTGTGTGGTGCTGGACCATGGAGTCCCCAGATCCCCTAGTGTTATCTGAGAAGTTTGGGTTTCACTGCATCATGGCTAGGAGCCGTCTGGCACCAGGCAGGACTGGACCGACCCCAACTGGGAGAGATAGTCACTTACCCCCCGAGGACCTCCCGTCCATCTGAGGATACCGTGAGAGAGAAGACAGCAAATCGTCTCTCATCCGGCCTGAGGGAGAGGGACAATTAGACATAGCACCTCCTCAACCCCCCTGACCAAGATGCCCGCCCATCTGGTTACCTCAGACCAAGATGGTGACCCCCCCCAAGTCACCTCAGCCCAAGACGGTTACCCCCTCAAGAACCACTAGTCACCTCAGCCCAAGACGGTTACCCCCTCAAGGACCGCCCTAGTCACCTTAGACCAAGACGGCCACCCCCTCTCAGCCCCCCTCAGCCTAAGTCTGTTCCCTCCCAGACCCCCAGTCACCTCAGCCCAAGATGTCCGTCCCCTCCTATTCCCACGATACCTCAGCCCAAGAAGGCCATTCCCACCAGCCTTCTCCCAGTTAGAATCATAGAAAGTTAGGGTTGGAAGGTACCTCAGGAGGTCACATCTAGCCCAACTCCCTGCTCAAAGTAGGATCGTCCCCAAAAAACTCCAAGGATGAAGATTCCATAACCTCTCTGGGTAGTCTGTTCCAGTCTTTTACTATAGTCTTTGTGAGAAAATTTTTCCCCAAAATCTAACCTCAACTTTCCTTGCTGCAACTGGAGCCCATTGCTCCTTGTTCTGTCATCTGCCACCACTGAGAACAGTCCAGCTCCATCCTCTTTGAAGGCTGCTGCCCACCCTGCAGGTGGTTGAAGGCTGCTATTAAATCCCTCCCCTCAGTCTTCTCTTTTCCAGATTAAATAAGCCCAGTCCCCCCAGCCTCTCCTCATAAGTCATGCCCAATCCTCCAATTTGTCTAGGTCACTCTGAGCCCTAGCCCTACATTCCAGCGTACACCCCCCCAGCTTGGTGTCATCTGCAAACTTGCTGAGGGTGCACTTTGCCATCTTCCAGCTTGTTGATGAAGATACTGAACAAGACCAGCCCCAGGACTGACCCCTGGGACACTCCCCTTGATACCAGCTGCCAGCTTGAAATCAAACTATTGATTACTATTACCCTTTGAGCCTAACAATCCAACCAGTTTTCTATCCACCATACAGTCCATCCATCCAATCTGGACTTCCTCAGCTTGTTTGCAAGAATTCAATGGGAGACCATATCAGAAGCCTTGCTGAAGTCAAGGTATGTTACGTCCACTGGTCTCCCCATATCCACAGAGCCAGTCATCTCATCACAGAAGGCAATTGGGTTGGTCAGGCATTACTTGCCCCTGGTGGATCTGTGCTGACTGTTCCTAATCACCTTCTTCTTCAGGTGCTTAGAAATGAATTGCTTCAGGATCTGCTCCATGATATATCCAGGGACTGAGGTGAGGCTGATTGGTCTGTATTTCCCCAGATCTTTCTCCTTCCTTTTCTTAAAGATTGGCACTAGATTTGCCCTTTTCCAACTGTCCAGGACCTCTTCCAATTGCCACAAGTGTTCAAAGATAATGGCCAGCAGCTCTGCAATCATATCAGCCAACTCCCTCAGCACCCTTGGGTGCATCCCATCTGATCCCATGGACTTGTACATGTCCAGCTTTTCCAAACAGTCCCCAACCTTCTCTTTCACCACTGAAGGGTGCTCACCTCCTCCCTAAACTGTGCTGCCCAGTGTAGTAGTCTGGGAGCTGACCTTGCTTGTGAAGACCGAGGTGAAGAAGGCATCAATTACCTTTTCCGCATGCTCTGTCACTAGGCTGCTTCCCCTGTTCAGTACGGGACCCACATTATTCCCAATTTTCCTTTTGTTGCTGACATATTTGTAGAAACCCTTCTTGTTTCCCTCCATGTCCTTGCTAGCTGCAACTCCAGTTGCACTTTGGCCTTCCTGATTTCATCTCTGCATGCCCAAGCAATACTCTTACACTCCTCCCTAGTTGTTTGCCCAAGTTTCTACATCTTATAAACTTCCTCTTTGTGATTTAGCTTACTGAAGAGTTCCCTACCAAGCCAAGCTGGCCTTCTGCCATACTTGCTGCTCTCCTGCACGTTGGGATGGTTTGTTCCTATGCCCTCAGTAAGGTTTCTTTCAAGTACAGCCAAGTCTCCTGGACTCCTCTCCCCCTCAGCCTGGCTTCCCAGGGAATCCTGCCCATGAGTTCCCTGAGTGAGTCAAAGTCTGCTTTTCAGAAGCCTAGGGTCCTTACTTCTGCTGGTCTCCATCCTTCCTTTCCTCAGCCCAAGCTCACTGCTCCCATACCCCCTGCCCAGTCATATCAATCCAAGATGACTACCCCTCCAGTACCTCAGGTCCAGCGCTGTGTGGTTGTCTCCATCCCCATAGATGTTACAGATGTGAACTGGGCGGGAAAACGAGACAGGGGCTGGGGTGAGCACCACCCATCTGGGGGGTAGGGGCGATGGTGATGGTGGGGCCTATGGGGCCCCGATGGGCCACACTCACTGTAGTCAGACCAGCTGGAGTAGAGGAAGTGGCCACCATCGGGGGTGAAGGCCACGTCCAAGATGCTCCAGCCCACGTCCCGCGCCTTGATGCTCCGGAACTTCCGGAAGGCTCCGTAGCGGCAGTCATACAGGCGGATCGTTTGGTCTGAGGGAGGGAGGGAGGCTGCCGAGATGGCTCCTACTTACAAGGCCAAGCACTTGGGGGGTACCTCTAGACTCACAAGACCGAGTGGCAGGGGGCTGCTGGGATGTCCCCTGCCCACAAGGCTTAGTAGGGCACCCCTTTACCCACAAGGCCAAGTGGCCAGGAGACCTGGGGAAAGCAGAAAACTGTGGGCTGCCCTTTACCCACAATGCTTAACAGTGACAGGGACTCATTACCCACAATGCTGAGCGATGAGGCTGCCTGAGGCAGAAAGAGAGGGATAGCAGGGTGCACCGGGCTAGGGGATACCTCTGACCTACCAGACCTAACAGTGGGTGGTGGGGAAGAAGAGCCCCTTTACCTATAAAGCCGAGAAGCAAGGCTACCCCAGGCAATTAAAGGAGGACTGTGGGACACCCCTTCCCCACAATGACTTGCAGGTGGTTCCCGACACCTTTACCTTGACAAGCGGACATGAAGAGCTGTCCATCGCTGGAATAGACCCCACAGAAGGCCTTCTGGGAGTAGGTGTCTGTGAAGGTCAGGTGGTTGGGCAAGAAACTGGGGGTATAGTCGGGGGGTGCGGGTCAGAATGGGGCCTCCCACTGCCCTATACCTTCCAGCTCCACCCCCACTATGTCTTCCCACTACCCCCGTGCCCCCCATACTCACTGTGACATCACACGGGAGCACTCGCCTGAGGAGAAGCTGCCGCTGTGGCACATGCCCCGCTCCCTCTGGGGAAGAGACCAAGGCAGGGTGAGGACCCAGGCATCCGGGAACAGCCCTTCCCCCTTCCCACAGCACTTTGCTCTGAACTCACCAGACCCGACAGAGATCTGCAAATAGAACCCTGGGATCCAGGCTCCCAGCCCATCTGCTCTAAACCACGAGCCCCCACTTCTCCCAGAGGGCAGAGAAAACCCAGATGTCTGGGCTCCCACCCACCAGACCTGTCCCCCTCCCCCAACCTGGGACAAGACCCAGGCAGCCAGGCTCCGAGGCCCCTTACTCCAAGTCACACGTTTCCAGTCCCCTCCCAGGGCACAGAGAGAACCCAGGTGTCTAGAGCAGGGGTGGGCAAAATGCGGCCTGCCAGGTCATTCTATCCAGCCTGCGGGGCCACTAACAGAATTTAGAAAATTAATATTCATCTGCCCCTGGCTGCCTGTCATGCGGCCCTCAATGGCTTGCCAAAACTCAGTAAACGGCCCTCCGCTCGAAATAATTGCCCGCCCCTGGTCTACAGCCTTTCCTGCCTTCATCCACCAGACCTGCCCCCCCACCCAAACTAGGAGAGAACTTAGAAGTCCAGGCTCCCAGCCACCTTCAACCTACCAAACCCCCCCCCCCCCCCCCCCCCCCACTCCCAGAAAGCAGCCCCTGCTTGCTCTAAACACACCAGACTTCTTAGGGGCTGGGGATAAAACTGAGGTGACCCAGCCCCCCTGCTCAAACCCACCAGACCCCATTCCCTGCCCCGAGCTGAGACAGAACTCAGGTGCCCTTGCTGCCAACCTGAGCCCCTGCCCTGGGGCGTGTACCTGGGAGAGGAGGCGGGGCAGGTTGTGCTCAGCCTGCCCAGGTCCCAGTTTGCCCACAGCCAGGTCCAGCTGTGTCTTGAGCTCATTTTTCTCCAGCTCGCGGGTGTCAGGGGTGGAGTCCACTGCAGGAGGGGGAAGGACACTGAGAGGGAACCCAGGCATCTGGGGTCCCAGCCCCCACCTCCCTCCCCTGAGTGAAGACAGAGCCCTGGTGTCCAGGTTTACCAGGGGGGTTGTAGCGGTCTCCGAGCCGCCCCTCCCAGGCGCAGTCGTTGTCGTCGTCCGAGTCTGACAGATTCTGAACCACCTGGATGTTGGTGGGGCCCCCACCCTGCCCCAGCCGCACCTGACCCCTGGGGTGGGGGTCACACACAGAGCCTGGTCAGGATCCCTGGGAAAGAGCCC